TGGCCCCACAGCCATAGAGGCAAGGATCCTCAGATGGGTATCTGTATCCCCAGGGCACACATGTCTTTTGATTTTTTTTTTCCTCCACTGTCAATAGTGTTGATTGCGGATCTGAGTAAGATGAAATTTTTGGTAACTTTAGTCTTTCCCTATCATGATGTCTCCTATTGGTCTAGTGGTGAGAGTTTTTATCTTCTGGATGTTGAGATGCAGTCTATATTGAAGGCTGTAGTACTTGATGTTCTGCAACAAGTGTTTAATGTCCTCCTCACTTCCAGCAAGCATGGTTGTGTCATTTCCATAACACAAGTTGTTAATGAGTCTTCCTCTAGTCCTGATGCCCAGTTCTTCTTCATATAATCCACCTTCTTATATGTTTTGCACAGCATACAGACTGAATAGATGTAGAGAAATTAAACAGCCCTGATGTAACCTTTCTTGATTTTAAACTATGTAGTGATCCCTTGCTCTGTCTGGACTAGGTGTACACTTCTTGGTCTACGTTTCACAAGAGCACAATTAAGTATTCTGGGATTCCCATTCTTCTCAATGTTAACAATAATTTGTCATAATTCATACTATCAAATTACAGTCATTAAAATAGGGGTAAATATTAAGTAGATAAATTAGAGATTGTTCCTACCTTAGCAAAATGAAACATTGTCTTATAATGAGGCAGCTGATGATGGCCTAGTGGTAACAAGCTGTCCTACAATCCCAAAGGCATGCAATTTGAATCCACCAGTTGCTATGTGGGAAAAGGATGGTCAGTCTCCTACTGTGCAGTTTGCTCCCTCTAAAAATCCACTGGAGGGTCAGCTATGAGTTAGGACTCAACATCACATAACAACAACAACACATAGAACAGATTATATTCATTAGTGTTGAAATTTAGCCTAAATGTCCAAGTCACACATACTATGTTACATATATTTGAAATTTAGAGAGCATTACAAGGATACATAATAATATTGTATTCCTTCCCCCGCCCCCCGCCCCTTTTCCTGCCTTTTTATTTGTACAGCACAGGAGGACACCAGCCTCATGCAGATAGCACCAAGCCAGGGGGTAACACCAGTCCTTCGTCCTCAGATGGAGAACTCAATTATGGAGGCTTTGCAGGGGCCTGGATACCTTTAGGAGCCTTACTTGGAGCAGGAGCCTAGGTTGAGGCCTTAGCTGGCACCTGGGTTGCAGCCTTGGCTGGTTCCTGAGTTGAGCACTTTGCTGGAGCTTTGGCCTTACTGTCAGCCTTGGCTTTGGATTTTGGCCAGTTAAGCCAGAAAATGCAGGTCCAATCACACTTCTTAAGCCTGAGATGGGTGATGTAGACGAATCGGCTGAGCTTGCAGTTGACACCTCTTGGGATCCTGGGCTTGACCTCTTTGGGCTTGAAAAGAGCCTTCACAGCCTCAGTGCATTCATCCATTGTTGACCTGCATCTTCAGGCCCTTGTTGTTGTGCTTCTTGGTAAAGCGCATATTCTCAGGAATTTGGTGTCTCCTCCCTTAAGAGACTCATATCTTGTGATCTTGGTTTCTTGATACCATATCTGTGCCATTTTGGGACCGGTTGTGTGTGGTGTGGTTCTTGGATTTCACCATGTCTGCACCAACTCTGCAGCTCCAGAGTGCCAGTGACTGGAGGAGCTATTGTAGTTCTAAAACAAACATTGATCTTGAAACTTGTAAGTTTGTTACAACTCATAATTAGTTCTAACAATTTTTATAGATACCATTAGATGTTTTACTTGTTTGCCATCTGTTATCAAAGTTAGCTTTATTTTTGTTTTCAATATGAAAGCCTTTAGGGTTTTTTCCTATTGCATTGAGAAGATCTAGTTGTTGCAACAATGCTAAATAGAAGCTATTAGAGCAAACATCCTTGACTTTTATTGCTTAGAAGGGACATACATCTAATTTTTTTTTTATCAAATAAGATGCCACCTGTAGGTTTTATATATTCATTTTATTAGATTGATGTAGTTCACTTCTCTTCTTAATGTGCTGAGTTCACAGTTATATTCTGTGAAATTTTTTCTACTGAGTATGTGGTTACAGGTTTATATTTTGCTAAATTACCTTTATTTCTGAGTGTTAAATCAACACTGCCATCCTGGGATAAATCCCAATAGATCTCTATGTATTATCCTTCGTTGTATGTTACATTCATCTTAAAATTTTATTAAACATTTCTTTTTTATGGTCATGAAGTATATTGGCCTATATATTGGTTTTTTGTAATATCTTTCATTTTTCTTATGGAATGAGCTAGAAACTACTCTAGCGTTTCCTTTTTTTCTGCAAGAATTTATGTAAAATAAGTGAAAATGTACATCATTTCTTCAGTGAGTCCATCTGAGCCTAGAGGGGTTGGGCTTTTTGTTTTTTTGTGTGTGTGTGTGTTTTTTTTATTGTGGAAATGTATTTTAACTACAAATGCAATTTTCTTAACATACATATTCAGTACTAGTAAGACAGTCTCTTGCCAAACAATTTAAGGCCTCTAATTTGTTCATTGGCCTAGTGGACAGAAAGTTACGCTACCAAGCCCAAGGTGGGTGATTTTAATCTGTGGCCCTCAGCCCTGGTTCAAATTGGTTTTTTGTCTAATATTCTTCTAGGTGGTACGAGTCTGCTGGTATAGCATTGCTGTACAGAAGTAACTTGTAGTTGCTGTGATGCTAAACACTGAGACACTGAGGTGCCAAATATGATAATGTTACCCGTGGTGGACAGTGTTTGGTGGAGCTTCCTGATTAAAAGAAGCTTGGAAGCAGGAGTGGCATCCACTTCTGAAATGGCTTGCCTCCAGACACTCTATGAACAGTGCACAGGTCTTTCATTCATAGGGTCGCTATGAGTTGTCTATGACTTGATGACACCTAACAACAACAACAACAACGACAGTTGGTTCTGACTTGATTGCACATAACAACATATTGGGGGGTTTTCATAACAACTATTATTAATATTTTTGTTTAAATAGTCAATTATTGTTTTTTTATTTTTGGAAAAAATTACTTTATTTGTACACTTAAGAATTTGTACATGGAAACTTACATTATAATTATGTGAAACTGGAAGAACTGTTAGGAAAAAACAAGGGATTAGCTTTTTTTGATTGTTCATTAAGAAAGATAGAGAAATTAAAAAAAAAAAACCAAAAAACCAACAAGATAGTAAACTAAAGAACATTTTCCAGGTCCAAATGTTGTAAAGACAGTCTCTTAAAGATGGTTAAGAAAAAAATTATTATGATAGAATGATTGATTCATCTATTTTGTGATTTCTAATTTTTTCTTGAACAAATGTAAATTCTATCACTTGTGTTCTATCTCACTAAAGCATAGGGTCAATGAGTTATAAAACAATATTCCTCTATATGAAAAATAAAATTATATAATTTTATGGATGATTATCTATTAGCAAAATTACATAAATTTTCTTTTAGCCCACTTACTACTGATTGTCTCTAATTTCACAATCTGGGATATATATCCCAGATATCTGGTTAACTGAAGCTTCTCTGAGAGGGATTCAAAAGATACTTGAAAAAATAAAATACTGTCGTAAAATTGAAGAGAATATCAGAAATAAGTCAAAATAATTTGGAATCTATAGCAACCTCTTTAAAGTGTTAAAAGACAAAAATCTCATTTTGAGGACCAAGGTGTGACTGACATACCTATTAGTATTTTCAGTTCCTTCACACACAAGCAAAAGCTGGACAATAAATAAGGAATACTGAAAAAGAATTGATGTCTTTCAATTAAAATGTTGGTGAAAAATATTGATTATCTTTATATTGATTTCCAGAAGAATAAACTAAAAATGTTTCTTAGTACTAAAGATGGCTAGTCTCCATCTCTTGTATTTTAGATATACTATCAAGAGGGACAAGCACTTGGAGAACTGCATCATGCTTGGTAAAATAGTTTTTGTTGTTGATGTTACTGCTGTTGTTATATGCCGTCAAGTCGCCTGCAACTCATAATGACCCTATGTACAACAGCCCTAAAGCCTGCTCTCTTCTATGCCAATCTCATTTTCTCTGACACACCTACCCCAATTACCCCAGGGACTGAATCAATCTATCTCATTGAGGGTTTTCTGCTCTTAAACTGTCCCTTCACCCTCCCAAGCATAATGTCTCCCTCTCCTTGCCACAAGTCCAAAGTATGTCAGACGAAGCTTCAGAATTCTTGTGTCCATGGAGCAGCCTGGTTCACTATCTCTAGGACAAAACTTGTTTGTTCGCCTAGCAGTCCATCGTATATTCAATTCTCATCTCCAGCACCACAGCTCAAAGGCATTGATTCCCCTTCTATCATCCCTAGTCATTGTCCAGCTTTCTCATGCATAGCAAAGTCCATGGCCTAGATCAGGCGAACCTTAGTCTCCAGACTGACATCATTGCTCTTCAGTATTTTGTAAAGGCCTCTGGCAGCAGATTTTCCCAATGCAATTAGTTTTTTTATTTCCTGGCTTCTGGTAACAAGAATGCAGATTGTGGAGCCAAGCAAACTAAAGCTGTTAACAATGTCGATCTCTTCACCATCTATCATGACGCTACCAATTGGACCAGTGGTGAGAATCTTTGTTTTCTTGATGTTGAGCTTCTATCCATAGAGGATCAGAAGAAAAAAAATAGGTGGATTGATGCAGTGGCTACAGTAATTGACTCAAATAAAGCAATAATTATGCAGGATTGGACAATTCATTCATCTGTACATGAGGTCTTTGAGTCAGAACTAACTAACTGGATGACATCTAATGACAACAAAATCTGTATATATCTCTGTTTCTTTAAAATAAAAAAAATGCCTTATTATTGAGTCATTCAGACCCTAATTGATAATCTGTTTACTTTTTTGGAGTTTTTTATTTTAATGTGTTTTGAAGGTTATAGCAAATTTCTAGTAACAATACAAGAAGTTGCATTATATTTCTTGCTCAAATTCTCCAACTGTTTTCATTTCATGCTCTTTAATTTTATAGAGTATACCTTCAGGCTTGATGTTGAAGAAGGAGTGGGAATCTCCAAAATTCCTGTGCATCCCATTGGATATAATGATGCAGAAAGTATATTACGGTATGCTTTTCTAATTAGATATTGAGATATTTTGTTTTAAGGTGTTTATTTCCCTGATATAAAAATAAAAATGACATATATCAAAATTTCTCAAGAAAAAATAACAGGACACTTAACTTTTTTCCTCAGATTAAGTTGGGAATTTTTGTTTCTTTTTCTCTTCTATTTTTTTATTGGTTCACATACAAAATTTGTATACATTGTGTTTCATTCATATACATAGTATTTTACAGCCTTTCATTACAATGTGTTTCATACCATTACTCCCATACATTGCTTGTTTGTTTGGTTTTTAGTTAATTTTTTCCCCTTGTTGTATACCATCAAGTTGAATCTAATGGCACAGGAGGAGATTGCCCCTTCTTCTCCAGTGGAGCATGTGGTGAATTTGAACTGTGTGACTTCAGGAATGCAGCACAGCTTCTTGCCACTAGGCCACCAGAATTCCCTCCCATGCATTGCTTTTTTTTCTAAAACCAGTCACCATTGATCTATGCAAACTATCACCTGGTCTTTTCAGGTCTCCATTGGATCTTTTCTAATTCCTTCATTCCTTCCCTCTGCCTACCAAATTCTACTACCTTGTAATTTTTCATCCTTCTTACCCTTAGTTCCCATGCCCCTCACCTTACCCCATTGGATTTCCCCTTTGGACTTTTATACTCATATTACCAGTTATCTTTCTCCTTTTACAATAATGGTCATATTCAATATTTGTCCTTATGAAACAGAGCATAATGGGTTCAAGCATCTCCCATATTATATGTTGTTGTTGTTGTTGTTGTTGTTTTTGTTGTTAGGTGCCAGCAAGTCACCTGTGACTCATATCAACCCTATGTATAACCCTAAACGCTGCTCTGTCCTGTGCCAGCCTCACTGTCTCCAACACACCAACCCCATTACTCTAGTCACTGAATCAATCTACCTCATAGAGGGTCTTCCTCTCTTGTGCCATCCCTCCACCCTCCCAAGCATGGTGTCCTTCTCCAAGGACCAGTCCCTCCTTACAACATGTCCAAAGTATGTCAGACAAAGCCCCAGAATCCTTGCCTCCAAGGAGCAGCTTGATCTAACCCTTTCCTGAATAAATCTGTTTGTTTTCTTGGCAGTCCATGGTACATTCAATACTCTTCCCCAGCACCACAGCTCAAAGGTGTCAATTCTCCTTCTATCATCCCTAGTCATTGTCCAGCTTTCTCATGCATAGCAAAGTCCATGGCCTAGATCAGGCGAATCTTAGTCTCCAGAGTGACACCATTGCTCTTCAGTACTTTGGAGAGGTCCCTAACAGCAGACTTTCCCATCGCAATACATTTTTTTTTTATTTCCTGGCTACTAGTGCCAAGAGTGTTGACCAAGGAGCGAAGCAGACTAAAGTTGTTAACAATCTCAATCTCTTCACCATCCATCCTGATGCTGTCAGTTGGTCCAGTGGTGATAATATTTGTCTTCTTGACACTGAGCCTCAATCCATACGGAAGGCTGAAGTCCTGGACTCTGCAGCAAGCGCTTCAGGTCCTCCTGAAGCAAGTAGGTTTGTGTCATCTGCATAACGCAGATTCTTGATAGATCTTCCACCAATCCTGATGCCACACTTCTCATAGCACCCAGCCTCTCAGATAATCTGTTCTGCATGCAGGTTGAAAAGGTATGGAGATAGGACACATCCCTGGCGTACACCTTTCCCAATTTTGAACCATGCAGTGTTTACTTGCTCTGTTCTGATGACTGCCTCTTGGTCCAAGTATAGGTTTCTCATTAGCATGGTCAGGTGTTCTGGGATTTCCATTCTTCTCAGAGTAGCCACAGTTTGTTATGATCCACACAGTCAAATGTCTTTGTATAATCAATGAAGCACAGATAGACATTCTTCTGGTACTCCCTGCTTTCAGCTAATATCCATGTAACTCAGCTACAATATCCCTAGTACCACAACCCCTTCTAAATCCAGCCTGGACTTCTGGCAGTTCTCTGCTGATGGGCTGTTCCAGTCATTTTTGGATAATCTTCGATAGAATCTTGCTTGATGTGAAATCAATGATATTGTTCTATAGTTTCCACCCTTCTTTGGAATGGGAACAAATACAGATCTACATTCACTTGTTGATAAACATCTGGGCTGTTATAATATTTTTGCTATTGTGAATAATGTGATATGAACATTGGTGTACAAATTTCCATTTGTGTCTCAGTTCTATTTTCTTCATGGTATATTACTAGCAGTGAAATAACTGGATTATATAGAATTTCTATGTTCAGCTTTCTGAGTAAATGCTAAATTGCCTGTCAGAGTGGAAGCATTCCTTTTTGATAGGTTTTGTTTCCTTTTTGAATATCAGTGACCATAGATAAATGGGTTAATTTCTGGGTTCTCTAGTTTGTTCCTTTGGTCTATGTGCCTCTCATTGTACCAGTACCATGCTGTTTTGATTAGATATTATGGAGTGCTATGCCTCCCAGTTCATTCTTCTTTTTAAGAATTGATTTGCTTATTCAGGGGTCTCTTTCCCTTCCAAATAAACTTGCTAGTTGCCTTTTCTATCTCTTTGATAAAGGAATTTGGTAACTGTTTTGGGATTGCATCTAGCATGTAGCTTTTTTTTTTAGTAGAATTTTCATTTTCACTATATTGAGTCTTCCTACCCATGAATAAGGAATTTATTTATGTCTCTTACTATCTCTTGCAGTAGTATTTTCTAGTTTTCTTTGTACAGGTTTTTGTGGCCTCAAACCATGTACCTTTAGGATTGCAGTGCAACTTCTTGCCACTGGACCACCGGAAGTCATTAGGTTTACTTCCAAGTATCTCAATATGTAGTTGGTTACTGTAAATGATATTACTGTCTTAGTTTCATTGTCCATGTTTTCTTTTTTTACTATAAAGGAATACAGCTGATTTTTGTTTATTGATCTTGTATCCTGCCATACTACTAAACTGGTCTATTAAGTCTAACAGGGTTTTTTGTTGAGTCCATGGGGTTTTCTGTGTAAACCATCATATAATCTGTATAAAGTGACAGTTTTATCATCTCTTTGCCAACCTGGATGCATCTTACTTCCTTTTCTTGGATCAGGCACACCTTAGTCTCCAGGCTGACATCATTTGTCTTCAGCACTTTGGAGAGATCCCTGAGAGCAGGTTTACCCAGTGCAATTAATCTTCTGATTTCTTGACTGCTGGTGCCAAGCTTGTTGTTTTTTGTAGTCTATATCTTTGATTTTGGAGAATCTGTGAATGTCTTGATGTTTTTCTTTTGAGATCTGATCTAGTCATTTTGGGGTTTGCTGAGCTTCTTGAATGTGGATTTTCTTTTTCTTTATGATACATAGGAAATTTTCTTTTAGAACCTCTTCCACATTTTTCTCAGTGCTTTCTCTGTCCTTCTCATCTTCTGGAAATCTGATCATACATATGTTGTTTCATTTGTGTATTGTTTTGTTTTCTTTTTCAATGTGCAGTTAGAGGGGTTATTTTTTTCACAATATTTGAAGTTGCCTGCTACTTTCTTGATATTATGGGAAGTTCTTCTTGATATGCATTAGGCCATTCCTATTGTTTCTGTGTAAGTTGTTGAAAATTTTTATCCTTATGAGATTGTCAGTCAGCTGCAGTCTTAAGTGTTCTGTCAATGAGGATGGACAACTTAACTTGCTCTGTTGGAAATCCTTTCTGGCCCTGTGGAGTGGGAAAGTTTGTCTTTCCTAAAGTCCTCTTCAGATCCTCTCTGGTCTGCAGTGCAGCCCTCCAGGAATAGTGCCTTATTGTAGCCCTCTCTCTTGAAGTTTATTGTCCTCTTTAGTCTTCCAAGTGTCAAGACAAAATTCCTGACCTGGAGCAGTTTCTGTCCAGGGGATGGCAGGCAGCTTTCTCCCCAGCACTTAAATGTCCTGGCTTTAGTAGTGAATCTCTTGTCTGATTACAGCTCCTTCTCTGAAGTTCTATTGTCCTCTTTGGTCTGCAGACTTAGATAGGCATCCTGCCAGAAGGAGTTTCCCTTCTGGGAAGTTGCAGGCTCCTCACTGCCCAGCAACACAACATGCTAGATCTGAGAGTGAATCTCTCACCTGATTAAAGTCACCTCTCTTGAAGTCTACTGGATCAGTTTCTATCCAGGGAATGGCAGGATATAATAAGTTCTCTTAGTGGCTGACGAATAAAATGTTCTCTTTGCTACAAATGAATATTTTAAATGCAAGAATACTGATAATAGGATTTTTAGGTAGTTATATTTCCTTGTTGTTTCTGCTGTGCTTTGTCATGTCAAAATTGACCCATAACTTACCCTCCAGAAGGTTTTTAGAGGCAGTAATTCACATGGAAGGAGATTGTCATACCTTCTGCAGAGCCACTGGTGGTTTCGGATTATTGTAGTTTCTTACTACTAGGACACCAGAATTTCCTATTATTTCCTTAGATATAGATTTAATATTTACACTTGACCTTTGTGTTCAAACTGTGATTATGTTTGTGCCTAAGTCAGTGGTTATATTATTATAGATATACAATGTGTAATATGGTAGTCATTATCCATAGTGGCTATTGAATACTTGATATATGACTACTCTGAGTTGAGATATGCTTTAAGTATAAAACGAATATTGCTCATTGAAAATGTAGTTTTTAAAAGAGAATATAAAATAACTCGTTAATATGTTCTTAAATTAAATATTATAATCACAGTTTTCATAGATGGAATAAAACAATTTACCTGTTCCTTTTTACTCTTCTTAAAAAAGACACTGGGAAAAGTGACTTTCATATACTTCTGTAGGGCAGAACTAGTATAGAAGTTAGTAATTAGCTTATAAATTGAAACCTCTCCAGCAATTGTTATGTGTATGTGATGGGGAAAATAAAACCACTATTGAATCTAGGAAGAGAGTGCCCTAGTGGTAAAGAATTACAGTGCCAGTCTGAAGGCTTGTGGTTCAAAGTCACTAGTTGCTCTGTGGGAGTAAGATGGGCAATCTTCTCGCTTGTGAGTAACTGCCTCTGAAAA